TGTGAGTAATGTCACTTGCAGGTGTGAGTGTATGCAGGCTCAGACTTCAATCTTCTGTGTAAGTGTACCAGGACTCCAAGTACATTTATAGGGAATTGGAATCCTAGGATGTTCAGCAGTGGAGTATAATCATGTTTGCATGTATTTAACATGAATATCTATCTATCTGGATTTTTTTCATCATAATCCCCAAAGACTAAAGACAACTGTCTCTCATCTGAAGCTCATAAGCGCCAGGGGCTTCTAGCCCTGATATCTCTACCACAGCAGTTAGTCTATGCATTCCATTACCAAATTTTAAGTCTTAAAAAGATTTACAAAACAACCCAAGTATGAAATTTCTAGCTTCAATCATTACCTGAATATAGAAGTTCTGATTATAACTTACGATAACATGCTGGGGGTTTTCATCCTCATGTAGCTAAACAGCTCCACTTATATTGTTCTAAAATATCTGGCCTCAAAGCGTGAAAAACATGAAAAAGAAATCTGTCTGAGAAAGATAAGAGCAACTGAAAAGGAAGGAGTATAATGGAAGCTGGAACTCAAGCTTAACAAAAAGTAGCAGACACTACCATGCAATCACCCACTGATACCCAAATACGTCAGCCAAATGTTCATATTATCACCACTTCTTTGTGACAACTGAGAGGTGAAACTGATCTTTGCTAATTTACATATTTTCACATACAATAAGAAAATATGGTTTAACATTCATTTTAATTTAATCATGTAAACATTATGTACACTTTAGATTTTCTTTGGACTTCTTATTTTATGTTATGTTACTGGACAAATAGCAGTACATAGCACTTAACGTCCTCAAAGCACTGTACTAACTAACTACTGTTAATCCTCATCCCCTTCTGTGAGGTAAATAAAACATGCACCATTAAAAATAATCAGTTACTGCAGCATTGACTATGTATCTTCTAAAGTTAAAATAGATACTGCAGAGAAGCATTTATACCATAAACATGGTAAATATTTACCATTTAACGGTGCTCATTGTAAGCAGGCATTATCCTCATTTTATAATTGGGACCTGAGAGACACAGGGGCAGATTCTCATCTGGGGTATTTGGCATAGCTCGATTGACTGCAGTGGAACTATGAAAATTTACATGAGCTGAAGATTTGGCCCATTGAAGTTAAGAGCCAATTCTCTGAAAGTGGCCTCTAATTTTAGGTGCCACTCTTCAGACATCTAGAGCCTAATTTCAGAGATGCTGAGCAACCAAAATTTAAACCAAACTCCATGGTTGGCACCTTTGAAAACGAGGCTCCAGGGCCTATGTTCTCAGAACTGACAAGTAATTTTAAGTGAAATTACACTGTAAACTAGACTGATTTTCCCAAGGCCACAAAGCAAGTCAGTGTTAGAGTTGAGATTTGAATGTAGAAAAGCTCATCCCATAAATCCCAGGCTCAGTCTTCTAATCCATAATGCCTCTGAATATGCTAGCCTCCATGTTAGTCACTACAAGATCAAAAGCACTGGGGAAAAACTGTAGATTGACAATAATAGGAGAAGTAAATTCTGGCACAGTATGAATCAAATCTGGTTCTGGTGTCCAACACTCATTGAGAGTTTTTGGAGTTGTAAGAGGTTGTAAGAGATTCACGGTGGCATTACTTAAAGAAGTCATATGTACCCTGTGTCCCAGGACCCTTTGGACTTTTGGCACTACTATCTTGCTTATATAACTTGCTGTATTTGCCATTTAGCGTATGCTTATTCATAAACAAACACTTTAAAAATCAGCCTAAAGTTATTTCTTTGGAATCCCAGAACAGATTCACTGTGACTGCTTGATTATCTGGCCAGTGTGCAGAATAACTAAGCAACAGCTACATCAAGCAAAAGAGCCCCCAATGCTACCAGTACTTAAGCATTCATGTAACTTTACTCACGCAAAGTTAGCACATGGGCTAACAGCTGGCAGAATCAGTGCTTAGGTTGTTCCACAGCCTCAGATAAACTGCTTTCAAAAACCAAGATAGGTTGATGCAGCACACACCCCCTTTTTAAGGGAAACCAGGCTGGTAAGGTTCATAGTTTTAAGTTTGAAAATGCTGTTCTAGAGTAATTAGAGTACTGTGTAAAATATTGCTTCAGAAATAAACTACCTCGATTCTAAATTAATAGACCCAAAGTAAAAGGATATTCTATCATCTGTTTTTTCAGTGCTGTGGCATGTGTGTGTGTTTATTTAAATTAACAAAACTAGTATTCTGAATTTGCATCATAAGGAAATCAAACTTCAGATTCTGAACCATTTTATAAAAATCTGATGTTTGTTAAATAACCAGAGATTCACATGAAATTTAGATAATTCTATAACACTGAAAAGGGACAGAATTTGCATTCTGTTAACATAATTGAGGAATGCAATTACCTTATAGCCATCAATGTACATTGGGCAAAATTCTGCCCTCAGTTACTGTATAACTGAGAGCAGAATTTAGCCCCTGGTTTGTAACTGCAGCGTTAATGACAAAACTTTTGTAATTAAGAAAGGAACTTCCTCATTTGTTAGGCAACACTGACTTCCAGCATAACAAGAGGGGAAGAATTGTACCAATCCCACTGAGTGGACAGTTGTTTGGACAGAATGAATACATACAAAATATGAAAAACACCATGAGGTTTAATAGGTGAGGGATATTGAATATCATAGCACTGATTAAAAAGACTTTACAGCAATTTGTCCTTGGGAGTTTGTTCAAGTGAGTTTCTCTACTAGAAGATCATGGATAAACTGGAAATGACAGTGGTGCTGTAAAAGTGTAGGTAGAAAAACAGAGCAAGGCCAAAGGCCGAACATTTTAATTTGTCATGAGTAACCCCCAGCATGACCATTACCACTCCTAAAGAAAACACATACATAAAATACTCTCAGCTTATCATAAATCACATTGGCCTGCATTGTACTCTATATTTAGAATGTACTGACCACCTTCCTGCTTCACTTAGAAGCTCTGGATGGAGAATAAATATAGTCTTTCAGACTAGTACACCGTCTACCTTCCAGTCATTACTGGTAGCAAATTCATTCAACATTAATTTTGTTCAAAGAGAAGCAGACACTATTATTTAAGGCCTTTGTCCCTGTTAGTCTGCTCTGCAGACTATGCTTCCTTAAAATAAGATGTTTACTACTGTTTCAGCAGCCAGAGAGAGAAGTTGAACGAAAAGGTCACATTTACAGCTGCCAAGAAGGCAAAGTTCCTGAGGCTTAGCCAAACAAAATAAAATTGATGTTCACTTTAGTTTTCTCTTTGTAGCCTGGAAGGGAGGGTAGGCTAGAGGACTGGATGCCTGATATCTTTTTCTGACTTTGCACCACATTTCATTCTCCTTACAGCCCTTGCCAACTGGGGTTGGAATTACTACTGATTGTAGAGAAAACTCATGTAAATTCCCACAAATATCAAATGCACAAACAGGAGCCCAGAACACAAGTAAGCACCAACTAATGGGAGTATAAACACCATGGATCAGAATTTGATCTCAGTTATTCCCATGCAAATCCAGAGTGAAGTCCATTAGCTTCAGAAGAGTTATTCTGAATTTACATTGGCATAGTTGACATCAGGATCTGAATCATGCTTGCAGTGAAGAACCAAATTAAACTAGATCATTAAATGACAGCCGTTTAGAGACATAAAGTAACTACCAATAAATCGTTAATAACAGGGCTCTTTACCCTTTTGGGGGATAGAAATAATAATTACCAATGAATACAGCTAATTTTTATCCAGGAATTTGTGTTAGTTGCCACAATTCTAAAAGGGTTACTTGGTGGGATGCGTTGGCCACATCTCTAACCTGTACTGAGTAATTTTTACAAGGTTCTTGTTGCTACCCTGTATAAACTGTTAAAAATGTATAAAGAACTCTCTGAGTGTGTATATATACATAAAATATATTAAATATTATGTACTTTGTATGGGTACATACATACACACACCATACATATACATACATGCGTTTTATATGGTTTACTGGATATTCTATGGGAGATGTAGCATGGCCTTCACTAAAACATTAGATTTGTTTCCACGAGTTTACAACATCCACGGTACTCACAAAAGGCAGAGGGAAATGGAGCCACAAGTAGGTAGAGCGGTCAGCCCAAGAATGTAGCAGCCACGTATATAAACCTAACATTTCAAGAAAGATGTGTCATGGTTGACTTGTAACATCACCTCTTAACACAGCAACAAGACAGAGATTTCCACTGAGGCATTGGCAAATGAGATTTTTTTTATAGGAAAGAATATTTTATTGGTTGCTACTGCTCCCACTGAGATCAATAGTAAAAATACCACTGACATCAAGAGCAGCTAGTTTGGCCCTGTTTTTCATAGTAATGAATATCCAATTAAGATCAGAGTTTGCAATAGCTATACCATCTGGTATTATATTTGTGCCGACTGTGAGATGCACATGGTATTTTCACAGTTGTTAGGTAATACACCTAAATAATATAATTTAAACATAGTTTATAGTGTGGTGTAGATCATTGGTAATGGTGTCATACACCAAAAATCACTAGTGTGGTATAAGTGACTGTGCGTGTGTTCACTGAAGTACAATCCATACAATTCAACACAATGGTATAGTTACAAAATGATAATTACCAGAATCCATTCTTGGTAAATATCTTCTTCATTATTTCTCTAGTATTCCCCTCCCACATCTTACCCCTTCAACACAAAATGCTGTGGCATCTGGTTGAAGGGAAATTATTAAATATATGTAAATATATATTTGTTATTTTTAATAGGTCACAAGCCAGCAGATAATAGCAACATGCTGCTTCTTCTTCTTTTACTTTATAATCAGCAGAGTACTAAGAAGTGGGCTTGTTCATTTACCTGTACTCCCTCCACTGGCTGCATGACTGGTTCTGCAGAAGCAGAAGAACAATATTGCAGGATAAATACATGTTCAGGTTCTGGAAGATCCCTCTCTCTACAAGATTCTAACAGTTTTAAAGGTGGATCATATTTGTGGCTGAATTACTTGACAGTGACCTTTTTTAATTATATATACACACTACAATCCCTCAGTCATTTCCTGAACTGTGACTTGCCAGCAATATAGTGGCCTGAAAACAATAGGCACTTATCCTCAAAGTTGGCAAGTAGAGGGAGAATTATTTGGTAGGTATGACACCAAAACCCAATCTTTGTGCTTTCTCACATACATCTACTGTATAGACAGAGGCAGAAACAGACAGAGTTTTAGGTTGTCGGTGGGTCATGCTTTTTCTTTTTGCCCCTGCAGGATTTGCAGACACAGCAGATGATGCATGGAGATGCCACAAGCAGCAAGGGAGAAGTCACAAGCGCTATGATACCCAATCCCACCAGGATCCCCACAACCTGCAAAGTTTAAAGAAAAGAAAAATTAACCAACAAGAAAATAAAGTGTGTGTGTGTGTGTGTGTGTGTGTGTGTGTGTGTGTGTGTGTGTGATGTTTGTCATTGCTCTGTTTGAGCTGGTTATCAGCATACCTGTGTTCTGTTCCACATAACCGAGGCTCGAGAATGGCCCAGTTTGTTTCTGCAGGGGCCTTTGTCATAATGTCTTAAGAAGATATCATTCTGAAAGATAAAAGAAAAACTGTACTGAGCAGGTCACGTTAATGTGGGGAGATTAACAAGACAGGAGTAGAACTATCACATTCCTGACAGTGCAGTAAAATTAACTGTTCTGGCAGAGAAGTTTGCCTGCCTGTTACTTAATTACTTTGAGAAATTAAATGGGAAACTTTAGATCTATAAGACACACTGTCTAAGATATTTCATATCCCTAATATTTATCTTCTGTATTCCTAATATTTCTCTGTTCTCTAGTCAGTTCTTCCATGGGCTTAACAGGCTGCTCTTTAAAATGGAAAGTCCCCACTTTCCTTTTCTCCCCCATCAAACTAATTACTTTATCTCAACAAGATGAGTGGCACTCAGTTTCCAAACACCCTCCCCCGACAGTTCCCCTGTAGCTTGAGCCCTGCTTTTTCCATTCATTCTTCAACCTAACTTTATTGTTATACAAGTATTACCTTGCAGTAAATTTTGAATACCTGAAACCTTAGTGGGTTTATAAGAGCTATATTGTAACCATGCAATGACTACACCTTGTCAAAGAAATCATTTAATTGACTTATCTTTAACTGATTAAAATCAGCTAAAGGCATATCTACAGACAACTATCACAGCTTCACGTGTTTAGACTATTATGGAAACTTGACACCGCTCCAATTTTTCATAGTGTTACACAATGATTGTGTACACTACGTACTCCAAAACAGACTTGAAAAAACGGCACCCATAAACAGCCTGGATAGAAAGTTGAGCACACCCTGAGAATAAAGAGGAACAAGGAAGTTTCATCATTTCCAAACTGTGTAGCAAAAACCTATTTAACTTTATTTTACCTCAAGTACTGGAACAAAGAGTTCTTTTCCTCACCTCCCACAAATATTACTACTGACTGTGCCAAAAACTGATGTTATCATTGTACACCCGTATGTTCCTTCTTTTGGACCTTCCTTTAGAATTCAAAGTCAGTGCAAGTGGAGAATATTTGATGTTTTGGTGGCAATGCTTGGCAACTTGCAGATTTGGGCACTTTTTATGATGATAGTGTCCTCCAAGTTCAGACTTCCTGTTCTTCCCTCCTCTTGAGCTCTTTGTATCCCTAATAAGATTCTGAACATGAAAAGTAGTTTCCAAAACACTTTCATCCTCAAACTTATTAACTGGATCATTCTCGTCTGCTATAACAGCACTAGAGACTGACTATGGAGAAGTGACCTAGTTTAAATGAGCTCTGAATTGACCCCAATTTGAAACTGTAGCCTTTATCTGGACCAGACCAAATCTGAACATTTTTAACAGGTTGGAATCCAATTAATTGGGGGGAGGGGAAAGGCAGGGGGAACACAACTAAATAGCTCTCAACCCACCTATCTTTAGCAATAGTATTGGAAAATCCATCTTCCCCAAGAGAATTAGCATTGGACCAAGAGATTTGGCTACAATCCACTTCAATTTAGGAAAAAAAGAAAGAAATCTCTTTGAGGCTCATTGGAGGCAGAAGTAACTTTTAAGCTTTGGCCACCATGAGGCTCCATTTAAATATAATTGCATTCACTCAAGTAAAGATCCTTTTATCCTTAGCATAAAGGGACAGAACTAGAACATACATGATTCCGGTTATGACATATGGGACTTATCCCCCAAATCCTTAACTAGCCTTGCTCTAGAACCTTCGTCCCATGGCACTTACATCCAAGTTCTGCAGGCAGTACCAGCAAAATGTATGCTTGCAGTTCTTACACATCATTTGAGCGCAGCCTTCATTTCGTTCAATATAGATCCGGCACACTGGGCACTGTTTAATTGGAGCCTCTGTGTCAGTCCTGGTAAGTGCTCTAGAAGGGTAAGGAAATATATGAAGATGAAATTTCAGTGCAAAACCTGTGGCTGTCTGACTGGAGTACTAATGTCAAGTCATTTATGCATCATTATGTTCTTTAGGGCCCCTAGTTCACACTCAACTCCATGGTCTGGCATGCGCCATGAATTTCAAGATTGCCTGATGTTAGCTTCTTAATGTACTGGAAGTGTAAAATCTCGTATTCAAGGGAATGCATTAAAACATATACTAAGAGCAAAAAAAAACCTGCTCATGCAGCATAGAGACAAATTAAACGTTCAATTCCACTGATTTTTCGTAATGTACAAAGTAAAGACTCACTACAGCCATGCATGTACCAGATATAACATTAAAAGAATGGTACTGGACAATGTGGAAAAGAGCTTCTGTATTTTGTTAAGATGACTGGACTGTGTAACTCAAAGTACTGTCCTTGCTTCTGCATGACAGCTTTAACCTCAAGCAAAGCCAAAGATCTAGCTTGAAGATCAAAAATCATATGAAGATCTCACAGGCAATTCCTGTTTGATGAAACCCCCTGCTGACCAGGCTTAGTTTTAACTCTTTCAACTCTTGCAAAAATATTCACAGTGGTGGAAACTACAGAGCACAACAGAGAGTTTAAAGATTACTCTGTGCATGCCAGTGAATGCTGTTCTGTTTCTGTGAGTACAGGTTAGCCAGAGACCTGGTATAATGTAAACATAAGAGTATTTACAGAATTCAGAGACATTCAGCCATTGCCAGAACTATGCATCCTCACTAATAGACTGCTATAAGAACACAGCTAGTGCAGTCATTTGCATCTGTGCAAAGTGAGTATAAAGGGCTACCAAATCAGAATTCTCCACTCACACCAGTGGAAGAATTTGGCACTTACTTAGCACAAGAGTTAGGCCTAGTCTATGTACAGTTTTTATACCAGTTCAACTATTATGGTTAAGAGGTATGACTTCTCTACCAAAAGTAGAGTGACCAGACAGCAAGTGTGAAAAATCGGGACGGGGGTGTGGGGTAATAGGAGCCCATATTTAAAAAAAGCCCAAATATCGGGACTGTCCCTATAAAATTGGGACATCTGGTCACCTTAACCAAAAGAGTTAAATTGGTGTAATACTTAGTATTATAGACGCAGTTATGTCGTTTTAAAGGTGACTTATGATAGTATAGTTTATTCCCCTTTGTGACAGGTTGTTCACCCCAACACTGGCCCTGAAGGGGTTACTGTAGGCTAAGAAGGGGGCCAATTAACCAGACAGGCCACGGCTGAGGGGAATCAGGTGGCTTAAGTAATCCCTTGACTGAATAACGAAGGAGCCCAGCTGAAGAGGAATGAGCTGGGCAGGGTTTTATAAAGGCAAGAAGTTGGCAATAGAGAAGAGTAACTGCAGTTGCTTTCTGAGAGAAGGGACTTTTGGGGTGGGCAAACCCAGAGAAGTGGGGGAGCCAGAAAGTTAGGAAAGGCTGAGGGGAAAGGCAGTAAAATCTGAAGTGAAATAGACCTTAGCTACTGATCAGAGGGTCCCTGAGGTGGCACTTTGAGTAGAGGGTGGGCCCAGGTTCCAGCCACTGGGGAAGTGGCACTAGCTAGGCAGTGAATGGGAAGACTGCCTGACACACATTACTTGGCTGGAAGACTAAGCCATGAACACAGAGCATCTTGCCTCACTGAGAGCTAGGAAGAGAAGGTAGGATGTGCAATGAGAGGTGAAAAGGAGGCATTGGACCTGGAATCAGTTAATCCCCAGAGTGACCAGGAGGAGGCGCACTAGTGGTGAGCGGAGTTGTGACCCCCTTCCCTGTGGAAATAGCTATATTGGTATACAGTAAATGCACCCACACTAGGGAGGTTGCATCACTTTAACTACACTGATATAGTTAAAGCGGTATAATTTGTGTGTGTAGACAAGGTCTGAATGACACACACAAAGGTGCAAAGCACTGGATAACCCAGACTGAGGACCATGGAACTTCCAACTCCATAAGTAGCTGCTTAATGCAGGAGTAACAGCAGCATGTGAATTATATTTAGAAACCACATCTGTCATGATGTATTAGAAATAAGACTAAAATATGGAGAAGGCAGGTCCATGAAGTATATGTGGCACTGGACCTCCATTTTGTACCACTAGCAGAGCTGAAAGATGGCACCGCCTAGCTGAATTCTGCTCTTACCCCTGCTCAGTTGGTATTACAATGGGTTGGTTTTCCTGGCACAAGCGCTCTGGGTGCCATACTTCTTTGCAGGATGAACAGAATTTCAGATGACAAGCTGGGCATTCCACAGGCACTGGTTGTCCTGAGTCACTCAGTTCAACATGGCACATGGTCTGGCAGTCAGCAGCAGGGCACCACGTTCTGCATGGGTCCAAGTGGACTTCTGAAACATAAATATGGAAACAAAACTGTTTAAATCTGCATTCATTATATACTCCTTTTTTCACTCCAATTACCATTTCTCTAGTCATACAAGGCCTGAGCCGATGCCCACTTAGTTCTTTAAAGGATTCTGTATTGCTAAGACTATGGCCACAGTGCAAACAGTGTTGCACTGAACACATAATTAAGATGATGAGAATTTGTCAGACACCATCAGACAAACTTCAGTCTTTCACCATGAGAAGTTGGTGATAAGTTAATGAGTGAATGTTAGATAGTCTCCCCATCTCTCTCTAGAAGAGCATGCACATCTCTGCCTAGAACAACATTTGTCTCTGTTGCACTGTTACAGGCCCTGCTGCATAGCTGGCTTATCCATTTAAGGTACACTCTGGAAAAGCAAATTAAATGAAAAACTGTTCTTCCTTAAGGGCTGGAATGATACTCCTTCAAAAAATAAATACTTAGCTACATTTGTACTGCTGCAATTCTAAATTTAAACTGCTTGTTAGACATGTCCTTGAAGTCTTAGGCAACAGGACTGAATTACAAAAATAGGAATAAATACAGCTAGCTAATAGGTCTGTTAAAAGCGGGACATTTTTACACAATGTCAACATGAATATATACCTAATATTACCTAATATCCCTCTAAAAATATAAGCAATTATGATCTTGCACTTATATCAGGAGTAGCTCCACTCAAGTCTGAGTAAAGTCACTTCTCTGGGCCTCATTTTCCCCATCTATAAACTAAGAATAGTGATACTTATTCTCCTCCCTAAGTGGTCATCATTAAAAAAACAACATTGGTCAGCTGTTACCACACAATAGCTTCGGTGATATCGCCATTATCCCCCGGGCATCGATGTGGTATCTTATACACACTATCATTTGGTAATGAGTGACAAATGTTAACTTTTGCTACTGTGCCCCTGTGTTGCCTAGAGACATTTCAATGAGAACCCAGCTAAAATATGACCATGATGACAGAGTTTCACTCTGTGATAGATTTGATTTGATTTCACTGCTTTCCAGCACAAACTGGAGGAAGCCAGGCTGCAAACCACCAAAATCTATGCAAAAAGTCTATTAGGAGCAGGTAACCTGCCAGTCACCTGCAATTCCTGTTCCACTGGGAGCTTCTGATACAGTGGTGGGCAACTTGCAGTCTGTGTTGGCAGCTGAGTGCTCAGCACTTCATAAGAGGGGCTCAGCACAGGATAAGATCAGTCCCCAGTAGATACTAGCCTATTGTCCAATGTGTCTAGCCTTTGCAACTACAGAAATGTAACACAAAAGTGTTTTCTTCTAGCACTGTAGTGCAGAGAAAGCAAAACAAGTTGCAGTGTCTAATATGCCCAGCTCTGGAAACTTGAGTTCTTTCAAAAATAAGATGGGAGAAAGAGATAGAAGAATGTCTGTCTTTGGCATTTGCTGTTTTTAAAGCTTATTGGAATTGTGGAATCTTTGCAGCAAGATATAAATGATGCATGAAATGAAACTCCCTGCCCACCCAGTATACAAAGAACATACAGATGGTACTTTGCAGTCATTGCTGTGATGTGCTACTTGCTTGAGCACAGAGCACAATGAAACCAGAAAAGCCCACCAAGCCTAGAAAGTTGCAGCTAAAAATATGAAGCAAACACAACTCTAAAAAGTTGTTGAATACTTCTAGTGAGGTAGTGGTTCCTCTCCTGGTCTCCTCCACCTTTCCTCTGACTTGCCACAACCTAGGCAGCCAACTAGATTCAGCTCTAAGCAGGGAGGTTTCCCTAAACCGCATACCAGCCATACCACCAGAGGCTGTGCTCTGGTCAGTTCTCACAATACGAACAGTCAGCTGTGATCTGGAAGACAGCCTACGAAAATGCAGAATGGTGTTTTTGATTCTGTGGGTAATACTTTTTCCTTTGAATTGGTACTAAACCAATGCCTTTCACATGGTGTTAGGGGACAGTATACTGTTAAAATCCCATGCTTTGGATTAGACATAAAATGGAGGTTCTGGTCACTTGTGGTAATTAAAGATCCCATGGCAGTTTTCACAGAAATAGAAGCATAACCCATTTGTCCTGGCCAAATTCCATTCAGCCAATTGCATTCTGCCTACCTCAGTTGGGATACAATATTCTTTAATTCATGTCCTAAGCTGTTGCATAGTGTTACTATGCACTATAAAATAGCAGCTTTCACTGCAAAGGCGGCTGCACTCAAGCGGTGGATTTGTTTTTTTAATATCATTATTATGGGGGGAGCGATAGCTCAGTGGTTTGAGCATTAGCCTGCTAAACCCAGGGTTGTGAGTTCAATCCTTAAGGGGGCCACTTAGGGATCTGGGGCAAAAATCAGTACTTGGTCCTGCTAGTGAAGGCAGGAGGCTGGACTCAATGACTTTTTGGGGTCCTTTCCAGTTCTATGAAATAGGTATATCTCCATATATTATTAAATATTTACTAGAGCCTGGATCAAGACTGGGAGCCCACTCTGCTAGGTGTTGTACAAATATATATGAAGATCTGCTCATGGCCATGAAAACCTTACAATATAAGAAGACAATCTAGGAGGAAGAGTAGAGTGATAGGGATACAATCAAAAATATGATATTCATATAAAGCAGAACCAGCACCAGAAATAGGAGCAGCGCAAGAAGGAGGCAGCAGCATGGGAGCCTTGAGTAACTCAGATCCTTGGCTGTTGCAGAGAAGGAGCTTGGAGAGCATGGCTGCAACCTGGGAAGGGATGAAACTGAGGCAACAGCGGCACTGGGAGCAGGTCCAATGAGGAGGGAAGCTTCCTGGTGCCAGGAAGAGAGCCAGACCCCTGCTTGGTGCAACCAATGGGAGAGAAGAGCCCCTGGACAGGACCAGTGGAGTGGCACTGGCAGATTGCACAGGACCGGCGCCTGTGAGCTTCTGGGCCCACTGAGCAGTGAAGTAGGCCCCCAGAAGGAGGTTGTGGGTCCTTGTGCCAGAGGAATGGGATGCAGTGCTCAGGGCAAGATGGTGGTTCCTCTTCTCTGAGCCTGGGTCCTGCTGGTGGCAGCAGAGGATCTGTTTGTTCCTGGTTGAAGAGATACAGATTTGATTGGGAGTGTGGGAGTTAAAGTGTTTGTGCCTGGTATAAGGGTAGGAGCCTAGGTGATGGGTGACTGCTCATGAGTAAGGTTAAGATTTTATCACAGTTATATTTAGTAAAAGTCACGGACAGGTCGTGGGCAATAAACAAAAAGTCACGGAAGCCCGCAACCTGTCTATGACTTTTACTAAAAATAACTGGGGGTGAGCTGACCTCTGCAGAAGACTGAAACCAGAGCCCCATGGGAAGGTGAGTGGGGGGTGAAGCCCGAGGCCCGCTGCCTGGGGGTGGGATTCCAGCCGCAGCTGCAGGGACTGAATCTGAAGAAGTCACGGCGGAGTATTAAAGTCATGGAATCCGTGACTAAATTGTATCCTTACTCATGAGCAAATTCTGGTTACAGCAAAAGGTCATAGGCTGAAAGAGTGGCTTGAAGGCAGAAGGAGCTGGGCTGAATTAACTAAATTTCCTAGCAACGGTTAAAACCCATCAGCACGTCAGAAAGCCCATAAATCTTGGTTATGCAGCACCTCTGCCTCTACCACAATTGCTCCTACCTGTTCCTTTACTCATTCTAAAACTACAGACTTTATAACCCCGCTGACCAGGGGAAAGGATGGACTTGGGGGGGGGGGGGCCGCGTGGACATTATCTTCAGTGGAAATGGAGTTTGGTGACCAGCCTGCTTCTGGTCTAGGCCCTTTGGGACTATGTTCCAACTCTTATACAAAGACTGGTGCCCGACAGGAATCAGACCCAGGATGCTTTTCACAGGACCATTACTTGGCCAGACTTTTGAATTCTCCTTGAAAATCTTGGTAGATTTCAAATGTATCTACAGAATCAAACACGATCTTTTCTATGAATTTTTCATCAGACACTGCCCCTGGTTGTGATCAATGTATAAGATTGGGAAAGCTTACTGGTAAAATGTTTAGACATTTCTGAAATAAAATAATCTTTCTTTGATTTACATATCACTCTGGGCAGCCAATGGCAGATATGGCAAGAGTTTAGACTCTAAAGAAAATTGTTTAACTGTGCAAAATTGTGCATCTTCAGTAGCTACAAAGCTGAAAAGAGGGCTGGATTTCCTGCCTGCTCCCTGCACGTAATCAGTGCAGTGCAATGGTTCTGGCGTAGGAGTTTTGACTAATAGTATTTTCAAAAATATTCCTACAGAAAGGGCAGAGACTCTGGCTCATTTGTGACAACAGATTTACATACTGAGAGAGCAGCATTGTATACTTTAACCTTTACGATCAGATCTGTGGATAAAAGACTGTAACCTAGATCTACAAGAATGTGTGTTGGTAGCATTTAAAAACTGGTGGGCAGTTAAGAATATCTGGGGAATGGAGGGCTTTTCTTCACTACTGGAGTAAGTCGACCTAAGTTATGCTACTCCAGCTACATGAATAATGTAGCTGGAGTCGATGTAGCTTAGGTCGACTTACCCCAGTGTCTTCACTGTGCTGCATCGACAGGAGATGCTCTCTGGTCGACTTCCCTTACTCTACTCAGTCCGGTGGAGTACCGGAGTCTTTACTAGATTTAGTGGGTCTTCACTAGATCGATTGCAGCAGCATCGATCTCCCTGGTTGTGAAAACAAGTCCCTATTGTTTCAGAGGATACAGAATAGATGAGGTTAAAATTAACTAGTTTGGGAATGATTACCTGAACTACTCTCCTCCTTGGTTAAGTGATAAAAGAAAGCACAAAAAGATCTCCCAAAAAATCAGTTGGCCTTTATCCTGTGGTACAGGTATACCCGGGGCAACATCACGGCAGATGAAATTCAGTGTTGATCACTGCAAAGTCGTACACATTTGAGACTATAATCTTGACTATACATACAAAATGATGGGGTCTAAATTAGCTGTTACCACTCAAGAAAGATCTTGGAGTCATTGTTCTCTGAAAGCAATTGCTCAATGTGCAGCGGCAGTCAAAAAAGCTAACAATGTTAGGATCCATTAGGAAAAGGATAGATAATAAAATAATGCCACTACATAAATCTGTGGTACACCCACATCTTGAATACTGCATGCAGATCTGGTTGCCTCATCTCAAAAAAGATATATTAGAATTGGAAAAGGTACAGAGAAGGGCAACAAAATGATTTGGGGTATGGAACAGATTCTGTACAGGAAGAGATTAAAAAGGCTGGAACTGTTCAGTTTAGAAAAGAGATGACTGAGGGGAGATATTATAGTGGTCTATAAAATTATGGTATAGAGAAAGTGAATAGGGATGTATTATTTACTCCTTCAAATAACACACAAACCAGGGGTCACCCAGTGAAATTAATAGGCAGCAGATTTAAAACAAACATAAGGAAGTACTTCTTAACACAATGCACAGTCAACCTGCAGAGCTCATTGCCAGGGGATGTTGTGAAGGCCAAAAGTATAACGGCGTTCAAGAAACCATGGAGGATAGGTCCATCAATGGCTATTAGCCCCTTAGCTCCAGGTGTCTCTAAACCACCAACTGCCAGAACCTGGGACTGGATGACAGGGGATGGATCACTTGACAATTGCCCTGTACTATCTATTCCCTCTGGGGCACCTGGCACTGCCACTGTTGGAAGACAGGATAGTAGGCTAGATGGACCACGGGTCTCACCCAGTATGTCATTCTTATGTTCTTAATGTCATTGGCTTTATGACAAAGCTGTAGTCCAGTGGTCCCAAAACTTTTTACCTTGTGCCCCCCCCAACCCCTATCTGCTCCTCCCCGAGCTGGGGCCAGGAGCGGGGTCATGGCTCCGGGAGTGGGGGGTGTGCAGACAGGTTAAGGGAGCTGAGGATGGGACCAAAGCTGGGGGTCGGAGCAGAACCGAGGCTGGGGGCCGAGGCCAGCAGCCAGGGCCCCGGGCATGGGGCTGACAGCCAGGGCCAGCAGCGGAGCTGGGTGGCACTCCCACAGGGACTGGCCCAGGCCCTACCCGTGCCCCCCAAATGTTCCTCTGCACCCTCCTAGGGAGGTGTGCCCCACAGTTTGGGGACCTCTGCTGTAGTCAATAATAATGAGCCAGATCCCCTCCCATGGTAAAAACCAGGGGAGAAAAATCTTTGTGAGAGTTCCGTTGCAGAGATTTCCCCACCTTCCCTTTATTGTCCTATCATACAAACTGGGTTTGCTCACATGGAAAAGCCCAAGCATTGCAGATCCTCTAGGATCCATGGAAGGCCAAGGACATCCACTTGGACGCTCCATGCCTCCATACCAACCGCAGCCCCTGGAGTCCTAACCTAATGCAAATGCAACCTGGTCCCTTGCAGCACAGCTCCACTGCACCCATTCTATCATGGATGCCCCCTCGGTGCAGCTGTCCCGAGGACCCAGGATGGGGGATTCTGCAAGAAAGATAATCCAATCTCTTGCACACAAGTTTGAATATTTTCACTAATAAGTGTAATCAAAAAAATTGCCCTGTTGGTCCTGCTCCTGTTGATGTCCATGGGAGTTTTGTTACTGACTTGAGTAGGAGTAGAATCCAGCCGACTCCTTGTAGTTAAATTATGTCAAAATGAAGGCCCTTTCCCGCCCTACGGGATAGCCTTCTAGTAATCAGTAGAACCCCATCGCCCCATATTTTAAGCCATGGTAAGATAAATATAAAATAAATGGTTCACACCTCGTTCAAATTTCAGTCGCTGGTATAACTGAAACTGATCAACAGGTACCAAAGAGGCAATCTGAAATGAAACATAAGAATAGAAGAAATGTTAGGAAAAGAAAAAGCCAGCCAGCCCCACATGCCTGCTCTTTTGAGTCTGATCTCAACCAACCTTCCTTTACTAGTTTTTTTCCCCCCCACCATTTTCCTCAATCCCTTCCTTCTCCAGATGTAAGTCTAGGTAATTCTAGACCACCTGTATTTCAGGTCATACATTCCAGTAACGTAGTCCATATGTTTATTACCCTTCACAAGAAATAGTTCTTCATGGGTGCTTTATTTACTTCTAGCTTCCCCATTTATTTCATGTGGATTTATTATTAATAAAAGGTGATAGATTGCCAGCCCTGTTTTATTTATGTACAGAAGTACAACAACAATGGAAGCTTCCCTCTGCCAGTGTCCTTCAATCTTGGTGACAGGAGTCACCTCTAGGGTACTGAAAGGGGAGTTTAGTCTCCATTCGTTGTCATTTGGGCTAAGATTGATGACAACAGTGTTGCTGGATTTTGTGATGTGCACCCTTGTCCACTGGGAACTGGACTGAAATTTCATATAGGCAACTACATAGATGTTAGCTAGCATGTCTGAGTCACTACCAACCATGACTGGATTTGAACTGGTGACCTAGAGGTGAAGGGCTGTATCCTCCATTATTAACCCCTATAAAGACATTCAGTCACCCTAATTTTTAAGATTATTAGCCAGATCCTCAACTGGATCCAAATCAGCATGGTTCATTTGCGTCAATGAAGTTACATTGATTTATTACTGCTGAGGATATGGCCTTTGGATCTTAGATTTTGAACCCATCAGCTGTATTTATCCACCACTATAAATTGTCTTCCATCATTCTGAAAAATGATATTAGTCCACCTCAGTGTCTTCTCTTTTCTCCTGAGAATAAACCCACCTTCCTTAATTTTCCTGTTAAATTAGGACCTGATTTCTGAGGTGCCTCAGCTCCCACTGATACAAATGAACAGCTTCAGAGGGAGTTGAAGGCTCTCTGCACGTCACATGAGGCCCTACAGCATTACCCCCCCAGAATCTAGCAGTGAGCCCTCTCCTGTCCTCACTGAAGCAGTAACAAACTCTTGGGTTGCTTTGCCCTCTGTTGCAACAGTGTGAAAAGCAATATAATACAGACAAAAATACAATACAAGTTATCCTGGTTGTAATGTGGATTGTTTTTGCCACTGGGAAGGAGCAAAGAATGTGCTCATTTGTACATAACAATTGTCTTTTTACTCAAGGTACGAATCAATCAGTCTGGAATATAAAGTTGCATTTCAAAGGCAGATGTTTGGATCACTTATTTGATCTAACCCATGTTATACAAAAAATAATACCACTGACATCAGGATTTAAGTGTTTTAAAGATGCTTAAAAGATTTAAAACCGAGGAAATCAAAGGATTTGATGTCAGACTTAGAAACATTAGCAAGTTTTTACAGGACACATTCTTAGCTTAATCAGCCACAGTCTTAAGGTTCAAAATATTTTTTCTTTCTAATTCAGAGATTGATTGAACAGAAATTAATATACACTGTCTTTTCAAGGGACAAACCTTTTTCCTCTGACAGCTCTCTAGGGTAATATGAGCTTCCCAAGACATTTTTGATCTGTTCACTAAAAATTAGCTGAAACATTCTTAGGAACACAACATAACTAGCTCGAACTAAAAAAAAAAAAATGTAGCTGAGGAATTTCGGTAAAGAATGAAGCCAAAGAGTGAAAAAAGAAAGGTGCAATTTCAGCATTGTCCATATTCCTCCTGGTTGCCTTGAAATCTGAACAGAGTTTGGAGAAATTAAGTGTTAGTCCAGCTGCTCCTCTCTAGTCATTCGGGCTCTGACAACTACTGTATTTTAAAATGTGTGCCATCACTAATGCATTAATCGGTGATTCCTAAACATGGCCTTTACTACACTAGCACTGAGGATTTTTGACAAATAATTTCTTGAGTGCGCAATTTTATTGAGGTTGGGATTTTCAAATGCGTTCAACATTGGCCTAACGCTGCATCCGTTGAAACCAATGAGAATTTTACCGCTGATTTCAGCAGGAGCAGAGTTACATCAAAGCTGAGAGCTGACAGTTTAAATATATGCACCCAGAAACGCAGCCTGCCTCACTTCCATCTAATCAGCCTGTCTTTTCCTACCTAACCTCTCCATGGCTCAGAACCACCTCTCTCAGCTCTGAAATCTCTCCCTCCCATCACTTCCCAGCTCAGAACCCCTAGTAGCACACACCCCTGTACACACAAACCCGTCAGGACTTTGAAAACCCATCTCCAGGCTTGGAATCCTTCAGATCTTAGGTACTAATATGACCCCTGTTGTCACAGTATCTGAGCAGCTCACAGTCTTTCTATGTGTTTGTCCTCAATACACCCCTGTGAGGTAGGAAAGACATGAACTGCTACAGTCTGAGCTAAAGAACCATGGCTAACCCTTCCCCCTCATCTCTGATATCTACCACCACTAAGCTCATAAATTGCTGGTCCTGGAGAAGTAGGAGCAGAGGTAACCAGGACACATGATGACTTCAGGGAATGTATTCAGGGAACCTCATCTGCCTCTATGGAGTTAGCAGGAAATAGCCCCATGTAATCCTGGTTTTGTGCCTCCTCCCTCTGCTGCGTGCAGTCTATATGCTGCAGGGATTTCCAGGATTGCAGGTCTAGAAGACACCAGTGGCAATGCAAGGCGGGTTCTGCCTACTCCAGCAGCATTAGCCCCAGGAGTCCCCCGATGGCAGCAGATGGTATTGCATCAGCTACACAACTCAATATCTACAGCTGATAGGGATGGCGATATTTGAGGGGATTATCCCTACTAGCCTTAAAGACCAGCTGCCCCCGTTCACAAGAACCTCTGTGAACCAAAAAAAAAAAAGCTGTTTTAATAGCTCTACTTAAAGTTAATGAATATACAGTGAAGTGCATAATGGGCCAAAGTTCATTGTAGACTTTACTCCTTCCATGTAATACATAAATATTTGCTCTTTTGAAAAAAAATCCTAACTCTGAGAAGAAAATGTGTTAAAACTTTAACAGATACTATAGTTAAAAGGTTCATCCTGTAGAAAATACAAAGTATAAGAAATTTCTTTATAGAGTAAATTCAGAGAAAAATTGCAATGCGGGCCTGATCCTGTTGGTTTCAATGGGTTTGACTCATGCCCTATGTTATGAGAGGGGAAGAGAGAGAAATCTTGTAGCTAGACGATGGGTTAAGGAGTCAGAAAGCCTGAGTTCCATTTCCAGCTCTGTCACTGGCTCACTCAGATCTTGGGCAACTCACGTAACCTCTACCAGTTTTGTCATCTTTAAAATGGAGATAATATTATTTTCTCAGGAGTCTTGTGAGACTCAGTGTTTGTAAAATGCATTTAAATGAAATGTGATATAGAAGTACAAAATAAAAAAGTTTCTGCACATTGACCTTTGGAAATTTCCATACATAAGAAAAATTCACTCTTTACTTTGCAACCAAAACCACAATCCTATTGGTTATGTAAACAGAGCTAGATCCTCAGCTGTGACTAAGATACATTTAACAGGCAGGGGAGTAGCAAGGGTGTCTTTATATCTACTTTATAACACCCTGACCCTGGGGCTGGTTAGTTCCAGCCCAGCCCTTCAGATAACTTAATTACATCCAGCTGACTAGTTCAATGGGCCTTTCTAGCAACTGGGGATTTCAGGACTGGCCTGGAAAGAAGGTGGCATACAGCCAATTCCCCATTCCATGGGAATCCTCACTCAGACAGACCCACCAAGTTTCTGGCGCCTCTGCACCACTGGAGCACAAAGCTGGCAAAATAGGACCAAGGATCTATCCCACAATTTCCTCAGATTTCCAGGTGCCTTTAAGAAACACCCAAATAGATTCTTTTAAGAAATATCATCATTGCTGGTGTATATGAAAACCTTAATAGCTGCTCGTGCTGTGAATTAAAAAGAGAGTAATGAAATTATAATTATTATTTATTCAGCCCTTGGCACTTCATAGGGAAATAAAAGTGGCACATCCCTGACACAAGAAGTTTTTAAACTCAGTTACATTTAATAAAGCAAAGATGACAAGCATTGGATGGGATCATTGTGAGATGAAATGTTCATCTCCTCCTATCCTGGCATTTTTTCAGGCTGACTTTTAACTGCTCCCTTACATGTCTGTTACATTTCTACACCCCCCACTCTCCCAATAAGCCAATCAACTACATCCAAACACCACACTCATGCACATCTATACACTCTCCGAGCTTCCAAAGCCATTGGGAATCAAAGCTGTAATAAGTTTGATTAAAAAGTGACAAAGGAAGGATAGCAGGTATGTGACAGAAAGGAAAATACCAAAGCTTGTTCCAGGCTAAGAAATTGTCCAATTTAAGGAGGCTGGTTGAGAAATGCCAAAGGAAATATTTCAGGGCTGTTTTTAATTATGTTAAAGGTCTAGTGAAAATGTAAATGGATAACAAGAGGCCAAATGCTCTTCTCCTCTGAAAAGTTGTCAAGCATTACATTTGAGATTTATCATACGTTCTGGCTTTTAAGTAAGTTTTAGATTTTCTACACATATTAGGCTCTTGTGCACCTATACGATACTGTTATAAAAATACAACTGTAGTTGGGATAGTGCCTTTCTCACAAAGCAGAAAGATTTATAGGAAATCTCAGTAAACACATGGAGATGCTGTAACTCAAAACACCCAGTGACACCCTTGCACAGTGTCCAACAATAGGATTCTTAATGAGTTCTATAAAGGTTACAGTAACTGGGAGACCCCAAAGGTCCCTGAGGCAAAGAAATGAAGAAAGGAGGATGAAAGGAATGAGGTTCAATGCACACAAGGCTAGACTGTCCATTTATTTACAGCCCTGAGCACAGGGCACCACATGGAAACAGCTGGGAATTAGTCCTTTCTTGTGCCCTCCCCCACTTCCCCACCCACTACTCCAGTGGGCTAGCACATTAGAGGAGGCAGAGCCAAAGCTCCATCTACTCT